CGTTACGTTTCTAGGTTCTAATTTTGTTCTTCTTACTTTGCCCTCTCGAATTTAGTCCTAATTTTGTAAATTTTTCGACCGCATCGAATTTCTAGGGTTTCGTAGAGTTCGTCTTGTCAGAGGTTCTTTTTGTGTAAATTATCATAGGGGTTTTGTTCCGGTCACCTCCATATGGCTATTTCGTATGTGTTTGGTCAATAATTTATCGGTTTCGCTCTTGAATTGAAAATCTAGGGTTAGGGTTTCTGACAAAAATTCAGCTCCTTTATTTGGTCAAATTGGATTAGGGATACGATTCCTAAGACCGATACTTCGGCTTTTGTTGATAGTTGAGCGTTCAATTGTATTACGCAAGCCGTCTGCCTTTCCTTTTGTTCTTCCAGTCATACTCACCTGAGTTTTGAATCTGAAGAATTTGTTGAGGTAAAATCTCATTGTTAGTATTTACCCTATCATTTATCATTATTATCTTATGCTGAAAAATAAATTTAATTGAATGGAAATATTACTGAGCTTAAATATTGATATTTTTCTCCAACAAAAAATAAATAAAATTATATTGTTCAAAACTTTATGTTAGTTTTTCGGTTACCTCACATTTGAGTTTGTGGTGTTTGGATCAAGTGAAATGGTTTAATTGGCCCCCTTTTTTTTATGAGAGAGATAAATGGCCTGTTTTTAAATGAAGATATGCTGGTGTTTGGATTAAGTGAATTATTCAAAAGCAAGTTATGAGGTGTTGCCGTTTAGCAACATTAATGGGTTGAGTTCTTGGCTTTGGACAATCTTTTATGACAGAAGTAGCATTTTTGTTACTAATGAAATAAGTAGTATTGTTGTAGGTATTGTCATGCATTATTCAAATCTGTCATAGATCTTAATTGTCTTGGGTTCAGGTTAATATGGGATTCAAAAGGCCCTTTGATGATGTGGATTTCCAGGAGCTTCCTTTTAAGCACCCGAGACAGCTTGAATTCAGTGATAAGCTTGCTCCATTTTCAGATGCTGTTTCTTGTTATGGTGCACCACGAAAAACCTATGTTTCAGGTAAAGAAAATTCTGGCGTTAACCACTTTCATGGCTTACTTTGTTTAGATAATATGGCCTGGTTTTGAACTGGCGACCATAAATACTTTGACTGATTCACATTGAAATCTAATCTTATTTTGCATGAGACAGGTGAGGATGGGAATGTGGTTGGTAAATCTCAATGGCTCGAGGTGCTTGAAAAATATACCGTTAATGAAAATTCAACACCTGCCAACAAGGTTATTGGTACTCCCTTCTCATTGACCACCAGGAGTTGTCGTGAAGAAGAAGTTGGTCCCGGACCAGATGCTTATTTGCCTCCTGCAGGGGATTTCGAATTTGACTTCCCCAGGAGAACATTTTTTCCTTTCAAAGATGTTTCTTCTTCTTTGGCGGATCGCTCTCCAAGAAAACCAGTTCCTGTTGGACCAGATCATCAGGCCCGTATCCCGACATGGACTGGACGCGTTAAATGTTTGGATCAGACAGATGAGAGTAATCTGAACCGCGTTTCCTTGCATTCCTTGGAATCAGAAAAGGTTGTTAATAATGCCAGTGAGGAAAAGCTTTTAGGGACTTCTGTCATTCCAATGCCTGACTCAAACCTGTCAGCACTTAAGTGTGATAAGGTTGGACTTGGTAGAACAGATTGTAGCTGCCTGGACCCAGGGACAGTCAGGTGTGTGCAAAAGCATGTCATGGACGCACGGGAAGAGCTTAGAAGAACCCTTGGAAATGAAAAGTTTGTGAAGCTGGGGTTTTATGACATGGGGGAGGAAGTGGCACGAAGGTGGAGTGAAGAAGAAGAGGAGACCTTCCTTGAGGTTGTTTACTCCAATCCTGCATCAGTGGGGAGGAATTTCTGGAAGCAGTTGTCTGTAGTGTTCCCTTCTCGAAGTAAAAGGGAACTGGTCAGCTATTATTTTAATGTGTTCATGCTTCGCAGGCGAGCTGTTCAGAACAGATCTAATATACTAGAAATAGATAGTGATGATGATGAGTGGCATGGAGATAATGGAGGTTCCATTGACAGGAGAGTTGCTGAATATGATGAAGACTATGTTATTGAGTCTCGTGTTTATCAAGATGATCATGTAGGCCATGAAGAGGATTACTCTGATGAAGATGATAGTGATGATGATGATGTTGACGATGACGGCAGTGATGGTGATGGTGATGGGGGACATGTTAAAAGAGATTCCAGCGAAGAAGATGGTGGGATAGATAATATGGAATCATACATGCTCAAGTCAGTTGATGATGGCAAATTTGACATTGTAAGTCAGCATGGGGAAAAAACTTCAGGGTGTACCAGGGAGGAATTTGATTTCCAAGATGACTCATGCGTGTCTTTTGAGTTTCAGTCCAATATGCATGAGTCTTGTGATCGAATTGATGCTGGGGCTGCAGGATCTGCTTTACAAGTCACTGGATTTAGGAACGATCGTAGCAAATGCTTGCATGGCCAACCTGATGCATCAAGTGATGTAGTGGGTCATGCGTATTTGTTGGAGCCTTGTGATGCTAAAGTCTGGGATGCCAGGTTCCCATTAGATGCCATGAAAGGTGTTGATGTACTACCCACATGGAGTATGATTGAAGAGATTTTTGATGAAGGCATGGGGGATTACAAGACGAGGGATGGACAGAAGGGGCCAGCTAGTGGCTAGTGGCTAGTGGCCAGTGACGGATAATTCTTTTAACCCCTTAAGATGTAAATTCAGTACAGCCCTTGTGAGGGCTAAGTTTTGAGGTTGGCAGCTAAGTTTCCATGCAAGGCAACTTTTTCTTTGAAGCACAGGCAATTTTGATATCCTGTGTTTCTTTTGTACAAAAATCCATGGAATCTAATATTCATGTGTATGTAAAGTTTTCTCAAATGGAATATTCTTCTCATTTGTTTTTTGTGCACCTCCTACCTCTTTATAGCCCTTTAGCAGTCGCACTTTGTTTTCTTTCATAAGAATCTTTGTCAATGCTCCCCTCCACCCAAAAAGGTCAATGTTCCTAGTAGAGCAAGACTTTTGCGTTTTTGACTGAAATAAATTTATACCCGAAAAAAGCTTTCATGAAGTTTGAGTAAAGAAAATGAAATTTAATTCAGACATGGTCGAAGCTCAAATGCTTGTGATTTGATTGTAACATGCTTGTTTCATCACTGGACACTGTTGATTGCACAAAATATAAGAATTAGAAATTTAGAAAATATATACTTGCGGCAGCAGAGTCTAATGAGGACTGACATGCATGCTGCAATGCGACTCCTCATCATCAAGGTCAATGCTTTTTGAAAATGGGTGGTTGAATTCTTTAATATTTTTTCTTTGGCCAGATGGAGTTCTTCAGTTGGATGAGCACATTTTGGTCAACTACAAGATAATTTAACAAACAACTCTTGAGAATTTTAAAACCTCATGGTTAGGTGAAGTTTCATGTGTAAGGAGCAATATTGGGCAAAAAGGTCTGCATTTTATACAGACGATAAGACCCCGAGAGTGATGGATTTTGCAAGATGCCAAGCAGGAAGTGTTTTAACTTCTAATTTAAATTAGGATATTTGACAAGCAGATCACTACAATATGGCCGATTGACTTTATCAAAGAAACTCTACTGATAATTACTAAGTAAATGTGTCTTCCTATGAATTGAACACTTCAAAAATCTATATATTCTTCAGGTGTTCGATGAATTAGAAAAACATGTATCATTTTAACGATGATCTAACTTCAAATTTAGCTTGAAGATTTGAATCTCAGATGTTGTATTCGATCATAATTAAACTTGGAAAATACATAATGTTGAAAATGTGGACTAACAAACAAAGAAACAAATGTATAAAAATGTGGAATGTGGATAGAGACTACGTTTTACAAAACAGCAGTCATATTCACATGTAGTGGGAAAGGAAATGAATAAAGAAAACCCATTGATATGTTGACATGCACTTGTCACCTATGCAATTTGCAATTACATTTGCATTTCTTTCTTAATGGATAAGTTAAGGATTTATGTTATATTTAGTCATTCATGTGCACACGTAAGTTGATCTTAATCGTTAATTTTTATAAGGCGTGACTCATGAGCAACTTACCGTAGCACCTCTCATAAATCAATAACAATTGAAGTTCTCACCTTTCATTTGTGCTAATCTACAATTACAAGCAAAGACAAGATTAAGGTATAGTTTGGATGTTTCAGTTTTACTGTGCCAATATCTATTTAGTAGTATTGTTTAGTCCTCGAACCTTGGGATCCTCAAAACATACCCACCAATCCTGGCCGTCCAATTGACCAGCGAAGGCGTCTCGCTTGACTACACGTGCTGCCAATCTTTTATGCCCTTTTTATCTTTTGCTTCCATGCATGGAATTCTCCTCCGACTATAACACAAACTAAGAGAGGGAGACAGCTAGAGGGAGTTTGGAGAGAGAGAAGAACCTCTGAATCAGTCATGGTTAGCTTTGATTGTTTTTTACAGGCCTCTTCGTCGCCATTATTAGCGACCCATTTCTTAAAGTTTTGATCTTTTCAATTTAAACCCAATTAATTTTATTTTGCAACATTGAAAAAGGGATTGTGGGTACTTTGATATGGAATTTAAAGGGTTCCTTTTTGCGGGTCGGATCTCGTACTTCACAAAACTGTCACATCTCAACATTTCGATTCTCATCTGTTACTCACCTGCAATAAAGCACCAAACTTTGTGATCTGTTTTTCAGCTGTTCGATCTGAGATTGTCCCTTCACTTGCTCTGTTTCTCTCTGCTATTTGGGTCTGTTTGCTGGAACAAGCAAGATCATGGAATGGAATGCTGCATTCTAGTTCATTTGAGGTAAGGCGTGGTTTGCTGATTTTGTTTTCTTTACTAGTGCCTATCGTTTGGTTTTGACTATTGAGTGATTAAAAATCCAACTATGGAAGAAGAAGATCAGAATCAGAAAAAGAAATTTGTGTGCAAGTTTTGCAACAAAAGGTTCCCTTGTGGGAAGTCCTTGGGTGGTCACATCAGGACCCATTTGAATAAGAAACCAACTCTGGAGAAAGAGGAAGATGATGATGAAATAGCTAAAGCTAGGATAGTGAAGTTTTCACCTTCAGATGTTGTGGGAAAGAGCAAAGGAGATTCAGGGTCTGAAGCTGGTGGGCATTCTGGTTACTCTCTCAGAGAGAATCCCAAGAAAACTTGGAGGTTTGTGGATTCAGGCCCTACTTTACACTTGCAGCAGGGAAAGGTGTGCAAAGAATGTGGTAAGGGGTTTCAGTCATTGAAGGCTCTGTGTGGTCATATGGCTTGTCACTCGGAGAAGGAGAAGCTGATTAACAAGCTTGAAGAAACCTCAGACACTAGTGAGAAGCAGAAACTAGTAATGGATAGTCAGTCAGATACAGAGACATCAGCTCCAAGGCTGAGAAGGATCTCCAAAAGAATGAAGTACCAGAATCTTGATGTTTACTCTTCTATGGCAAATGGTTCTTCATCTGGTTCTGGGGTCGAGCAAGAACAACAAGAGGTGGCTATTAGTTTGATGATGTTGTCTCGGGATTCTGGTCACAAAGGGGGTTTGAATTCATTTGCTGAGTCTTCAGATAACAACTCTGTGGTTCTAGAGACTAAATCATCATCTATTGATATGAGAATTAGTACTGAGCAGGGTCTCAATTGTGCCTCGAAAGTGAATGATATTATGGGCATGAAGAGAGCAAGAGACGAAAAGTTGAAATCTGAGATCACTGTTTCTGACAATTCTGATTCTGGGTATTTCAGACGTGAACCAAAGAAGGTTGAATCAGATGTTTCTGTTGATGGGTTTATTAGGAATGGTGAATTTCACAAGGTTAGAGCAGAATTTGGATCTAAATTTGAGGGATATGAATCCAATGATGTTAAGTTAAGAAGGGGTTTTCATATGAAATCTGAAATGGGGAAGGATCTTTTGTCAAGGGAAGAAGCTCATCCTGATCAAGTGCATAGAGGAGGGTCTTTAAAGTATGCATTAAGAAAGACAACCAAGAACGGTTTTCACAGACCATTTACTAATGGTTCTACCAATGTTGAAGTCTGCAGAAACGCTCGAAAGAGCAGCAAATATGAGTGCTTGACTTGTAAGAAGACCTTCCACTCGCATAGGGCTCTTGGAGGACACAGAGCCAGCCATACAAAGACCAATGGCTACTCTGAGTCCATGTATGAGAGTGGGGAAAACAGCATAGACACTGATGTCTCTCCTGTTCCAACACCTGAGAGTAAGCTTGTTGAGCCTTGCAGTGGCAAAAGACCAATTGATGAAAACGTATTATCTGGCAGTGCAAAGAGAAATTCAGGTTCAAAGAAAAGCAAGGGACATGAGTGCCCATTCTGCTTCAAGGTTTTCAGGTCAGGCCAAGCTTTAGGTGGTCACAAGAGGTCCCATTTTGTTGGAGGCTGTGAAGTCAAAACTGTGGTGCTTGGGCAAGAACCTGAAGCCCCTCACGAGGCTGAAATCACTACTCTGTTTGATCTTAACCTTCCAGCTCCTATGGAGGAAGAAGCAAATGAGCAATTTGGGTTCATGACATGGTAGGTTGGAAGAAGGAACAAGCATGAATTCTTGGTGGGTCTTCTCTACAACTTACAAGTACTCTGCCATTTTTCTGTAATGTTGCAAATGCAGGCAAGTACAGACAATGTGGTGAATTGTTTTGTTTCTCTTGGGCCCCAGATTCGAAGTATGCCTTGCAGAGGTAATGGTTCCATTTCTGGTTCATGGACTGGAAGGATGAGTTATTCTTGCAGTTTTCACCTTCCTTAGTTTTTTTATTTGTTCTAATAATCTATTTGATCGTCTCATTTTGAGTGCACTGATCTGTTTTTTTCCCAGACTTGTAGCTATAGGAACTTAGCTTCTCTCTCTTCCCATTTTGAAATATTTAATATTCTCCTCACTGTTTTGGAATGTCTCATAATATTATTTAGAGAGTCAACAGGTTTTTAACTATAGCTTCTATTATAAAATTAAAGACAAGAAGACAAAATAGGACTATATCATAATATGAAAAGGGTAAAAGTTGGTAACATATCATCAACAATTTTAGTGTGACATACACAATTCCCTTAGCTCTCAAACTTTCCCATTTAAAGGAACAAGTAAAACAGAATGTCAAAAAAAAGTATGTGCTCTTGAAATTTTGACCTCTTTTATGAAAACCACTTAATGAGGAAGTGTCACTTTCCATCACCAAGCTAGGGCCCTTGACACCAGAAAAAATTACAAGACAAAATGAAATAAGGGGACTAATTGCTTCTCAACTTTCATAATCAACTCCACTTGTAATTGTGGCCATTCAGAAGTCAAGCACCATTTTTTTCACTGGTTGAGTGTGTTTTTCCCAAAAGTATCAAGGACCACCTGCTTTATGGGGAAATGTTGAAAAGTGCCACTAAACTTCAAATGTTGGGAGATAAGTTTCCTCTAGAATTTACATCCTCATTCACTCAGATTTGCATTTTCATCTCTGTATGATGAAATGATTACAGATGGGATTTTTTTTTTAAACCCCCCTTACTTCTTGTAGTTGCTTTACCATGAGTCCTCTTTCAATGTTGAAAAAAGTGTTTCCCACCACAACTAAATTAGCCCCTTTTTTCAGCAAAATCTCCTGCAATAGAATTCAGCATGAACAGGGTTGTTAGAGATGTGGATGAATCTTAAACATGAAGCCTCA